CAAAACCCTAATGGACAAAATCCTAATGGGCACAAAACTCTAATGGACAAAACCCTAATGGGCACAAAACCCTAATGGGCAAGAAACCTAGAGCTCTGATACCATGTAGAAACTAAGGTTTGAGAGAACCAGATAGATCTTATTCTCATTACTGAAGTCTATATATATAGATAAATATACAAAGTTGACATAATCCTAGAAGAGGAAGGTAAAGGACAAATGAATACATATTATTTACAAGAATGTAAAATATACTAATATATACTCTAACACAAACTGACTTTGGCTCAATCGGTCCTGAGCAACTTACCTACGTTTTACTTCTCTCTTCGTAAAGCTCCTTCGAGTACTACTTCAGATTTGGACAAGATAGTCAGAGATTTCTTTCGGAAGGGGGGTCCTCTCACCCCTGTCGGAATCTTGTCAATTGGGATCAGACCTCTTTACCCGTGAAGCTTGGTGGCTTGGGTTTCAACGCTTTTAAACAACGAAATAAAGTCTTGTTGATTAAATGGTTGTGGAGGTTTATGAACGAGAATGAGGCCCTCAGGAAGAGGGTGATTGCTAGTATCTATGGGGTGGACACAATGGGGTGGTTGTCTCTTGTTCCTAAAGGAAGAGCTAGGGGAAGACCGTGGCACGATATTGCAAAGCTGAGTACTTTCTTCCAGAAATTTCTGCAGTTCAAAGCCGCCAAAGGGGATCGTATCCGGTTCTGGTTGGATTGGTGGATCGGAGATCTCCCTTTGGTTCAGATTTTTCCAGATCTCTTTGCAGTCTCCTCGAAACAACAAGCAACCCTAGAAGAGTGCTGGAATTCACATCAGAACGGCTGGGACTTGGGCTTTAGAAGAGACCTCTTCGACAGGTAGCTAGCTTCATGGGATAATCTTGTCTAGATTTTGGACCCTGTGTTGTTAGGAAAGGGGTTGGATAGCGTGGTCCGGACTTTGGAGAAGGATGGGTGCTTTTCTACAAAATCTTCCTTCTTAAAACTGATCGAGACTAATCCCTAAATCCCGAGTACTTTGATTGAGGGAATTTGGAAGAGTCCTGCCCCTAAGAAAATTAAGGTGTCTCTTTGGTCTCTTGCCAACAGAGCCTCAAACACTCATGAGCGGCTTCAAAGAAGATGCCCAGGGTGGTTTCTCTCGCCATCTATTTGCTGTCTTTGTTTGGTCAATGGAGAAACAGTGGATCATATTTTTCTACATTGCCATTTTGCTGGAAGGGGGTGACAGAAACTGTTAGATTTTTTCTCCATATCCACGTGTTTTCCTAGAAGAATTGAAGATTGGCTGCTAGAGTGTCTTCATGGTTGGAGCCTCAAAGACAAACGTAAATAGTTGTGGGGTTGTGCTTTCAGAGCCTTGCTTTGGCAGTTGTGGCTAGAAAGGAATAGTCGTTCCTTTGAGGACAAGGCAAATTCGTTTGATTCTTTTTGTGATAGTGTGCATATTACGGCCTCTTGGGGGTGCTATAGGAACATAAAATTCTTTTGTAATTACAGCCTCTCTCAAATCATTCAAGATTGGGCTCTTTCTCTTTATCAACTAATTTTCATCTGTCACATGGCTTTTTCTGGGTGGATTTTGCTATTTACAGCATATCTTCTAAAGCTGCTAGGGTCCCTTTCTGGGTTGAGCTAAATGATCTAGTTGGTCTCTGCATGCCTTATTGGGGAGCTCAGAGGAGACTTTTATCCAGTGAAGTGGCCTAGTGACAAGTCTTTTAGGGGGCTACTAAAAACAGTTTGTTAACTTGGTTTATAATGCTTTTCAAATAATTTAAAGAAATTATTCTGTTATTTAACCCTCCTATGAAGAAAAGTTTGTGGTTAAATTTGAGAGAGGCTTGCATCAAAAGATTGTCACAGACAGCTTTGGATCATTTCCAGTGCTGCTTGAAACTGGATATTTGCTTTATAGCTCCCCTCCATTTGGGTTCAAAACAATTACTTATAGGGGGTACTCAGCCTTTTCTTTCAACGAAAAGTTTAAAGATCTTGAAGGCATTTTCAAGGTATAAAACAAAAATTATTTTAGCAACATTTATACTTCAGAAGTAGACCGTCATCAATGATATTGGTGAATTGGGCTCACGGGATGAGACTGCAAGTCTTTTTGAAGAAAGGGAAATGTCACCTTAAAAGGTTAACTTCAAAGCCCGGTCTAAAGAAGTGGGTTTTTTAGCATAAATATGAGAAACTAGTTTTCATTAGGACAAATAGAAGTACAAAAGGAGGAGCCTTAAAAGAATGAACTACACAGACAATTGAGCAATACAAAAAAACAAAATAAATAAAGTACAAAATTACAAGAGACTCCTCCCGTTATTAGCAATAAAAAATAAAGGACAATTACAAAACAAGCACCATCTCCACCTTGTGTCCAAAATTTTGTTTCAAAGTTTCACAGCAAAGTGGCACCTCCAAAAATACATGATCCATATCCCTTGATGTCCTCTTGTCTTGTCAGGACAACAAGTCTCCCCATATTTTCAAAATAATATGATATTGTCCACATTTGGCCTAAGCTCACATAAATTTGCTTTTGGTTTCATCTAAAATACCTCATACCAATAGAATACTTTATTATATAATATGGATCTTCCCCACTTCAAGCCAATATTACAAAATATTTACTCATGGGTGGGACAAGTTCTTCTATTCTGGTTCATGGTTTCTATTGGCTATATGATTCATCTAGGACAGAGATTGAGCTTCAAGAAATAGCAAACGGTATTTTCAATGTACAAGTGTATAACTCTTCAAGAATTTCAATTGCACTTTACATACACCATTGGGGCGAAAACCATGGATGAGTCTACGATGTTTAATCTTACTAAGGAAACCACTAAGCTTGAAATCTGGTGTTCATAATTTTGGTCTTCTAGATCAAGGAGGATTGGGATGAAACGCTAAAGAGGAAAAAGAGACTAAATAGAAAAGATGGCTGAAGGCTTGAGAACCGTGTTTAAAGAAGAGTTGCTATGGAGGCAAAAAATGTGCATTCAAATGGCTTACAAAAGGGGACAGACATTCTGGTTTTTTCTGCAACTATGCTTCAACTGAGCAGAGGAATTCATTCATTCATTCATTACTGAAGTCTTTAATGAGAGAGGAGTCAGCTTTGTATATTTCATTTATTAAGAATCACTTATCCTATAAAAGATTATATATGAGGAAAAGTGGCTACTGGCCACAAAATATGTACAAATAAATGTAAGTGAAACAAGACCATAAAGATTTTCTTTTAAGGCACTTACGGTTTTGAATCCTTGCGAAGCATTGGTGAAATAGCTTCAACTATGAATGGAACCATTTCACTATGAGAAGCAAGGCATGGAAGTATTGCCAAAAGTTTAAGCTGTGCATCAACATGAAAGAAGTATACGTTCATATATTTAAACAACAAAGACAAATGATGTGTCTCTGGAAAAAAAAGCAAATATTCGAAGTACTAATTATCCATGCCATATATAAGAGTGAGGATAGTGTACTGGAGAAACTTTTTTTTTTTGGAATAATGTCCATAGACTTCCATTAAATTTCTATTGAACCTCGTTTTATAAGCGAACAGTTAAAGTTAACTATAATAGGTAAATACAATAAATTTATATCAAATAATATATTTTCTCACTATATAATTTTTAAAATCAACTATCGACATTAACCAAAAAAAAAAAAGGAAGTAGAATTCTTTTCTTTTTTTTTTAAGTTCTATAAGGATTCAGATTCTTTTAGAAAATAATAGGACCAGATTAGCATTCAAGAAGCTAAAAGGGTCAAGAGGTCCAAAATGTGTCCTAACATCCTCCAACATCCTGAAAAATTCATATATTTCTATCAAAACAAACTTCCCATTCAAGAACCGGATTATCACTCCTCCAAATAACCTGAGCATGTCTCTTGAAATTAGGACCATAAAGCAACAAATTACGGAAGCTTTAGTGTCCAAAGGAAAACAGTCTTCTAGGTTGAAAACCTCAGACAATCTGTTCCGGTCTTTGAGGGGACAAGAAAACAGTCAAAGAGAAGATGGTTGATTGATTCAGCATTGTCATTGCACAAGGTATGCTATTGATTTGATTGCTAGGCCCATTAACATTATTGTTAGTATTGATGTCATTAATTTCTTTTTCTAATATATATAAATATGTATGTATGTATGTATTATAATAAGTTGATGCTCAATAATTTGTGGTAATCATGACAGCAATATTGTGACTAGCATCAACTCAACTCAAATGAATATAAAGACAATCTTGAATTGGAAACAAATTCATTTAAAGATCAAATAACAACCTAAAAATATCACATGCAATCACATTCTAGAAAACTAGTAAGATCTAAGTGCAAAAAGAAAACTCACCACCATATCCTGGCGATCAACTTCTTTCCTTGAAAATATATTACTGTAAAAGAGGACTAGAAGCAACAATTGAAATCCAATTTTTGGATCCAAAATTCCGATTGCAGCTAGTAACTGTACAGCATCACTCGCCAATGAATGATGTACCACCATAACGGCAGTGATTGCACTTACGAGGAAGGGCATTTCTGTACAGGCAAATGATACAATAATATCAATCACTTACCCCATCAATCCAGGGATGCCAAAATATAAAAATTGTTATGAAGAAAACTCATCAAGAATAGGGTTTTTCTTTTACCTGAAACAAATAATTCCTCAAATTGAGAGAGGGGCAAGAGTGATTTCCGCCTATCAACAATCCATAATGAGTACTCTCTTAATTTATGTGTCCAACACTTCCTGGGCAAATCATTATCATCTTTGCCATTACTCTGGCCCAAAAAGAACCTACTGGATAGTGAAGAAAGTTCCTGAGATAAAATGGTTTGAACTTATCAAATGTCAGTCACCATTTCAAGTAAGAATCCAATCTCTGCAGGTTTAGGCGACCATTTCAGGTTATACAAAGGAAAATACTCAAGACATATTATAAAACTGACCTGGAAACGTAGCTTTTCCAAAAGCTTAACAACAATAGATCCAGGTGTGCTAATCGATGGAAAGTGAAACCCCCTCTCCTTTACAACTTCATCCTTTGTGGTCATTGATAGTGTCACCAAAAACTTTTCTAATATGGAAAGCAATTCAGTTGCTGCTCCTTTAATAGATTTTGAAGGAGATGACATGAGGCTGATGGCAGGAAAGACAAATAAAAGTTCTTCACTCGGAACAAGTGTCCTCGTCCTATTAGGAACATCTGAAAAACCACGAGCAATTATATATACAACAGAACGGCAGTAAAATGGCAACTGTTGAAAGAAATTGAAAATTTGAAAACATAAATAAAAGGTAGGACACATTCAACTGAACAGCTTACATACCATGTTCAGCTTTCCACCGCAAGAGGGAGAGAAGAAGTTTCAAAATCAACAATTGCTCATGCTCTAGCTCTGATTTTATGAGGATTGTAAATAACGATGGGAAGGCTGAGGATAGCTTAGGTACATATTGCATCCCGAGGTCCTTTTGTACCAACAGCAAGTATTTTGATAGTTCAATAATGCGCTCAAAGCCAGAAACATGCCTATCAAGACATGCATATAGGGAGAGAATTGTATCTAGAAGTTCTATGCTGCGTTGTTGAGCCTCCATTATGAGATGCTAAGCAGGGAAAAAATGAAGTCGAGAGAGAGATTAAAATTTAAAACTTTATAACTTAATTCAAGACAGTTCCAAACTATCAACCAGTTTCACTAAACTTACGAACTTCAGTGAAAGCAAGAGTATACACAGACAAACAAAATGACAAAATAACCTATTATCTCACTGCGATAAAGAATGAAACTGCTGCATACCGATCCATTGGTGACTAAGAGTTTTAGAACCACAGTACAGGTATCCACCAAAGATTCCACCAGATGTATGAAGTTCCAAAAATCCTGCAAGATTATGAAGAACTCTAATAAACCTCGTTGGTACAAATTAAGTGCAATTATTCGTATCTTATGCTCATTGTGGAAAAAATCTTAAAATGATAAATATAAAGTAGATTCGAATCAGCACTAGAAATAATCTGCCTCTGTTCCAACTTACTTCTAGAGTCTTGCATGGGACAAACTTGAGGCTTCGGGTTAACAAAGCAAATAGAGGCATTGCCTCGTGCGGAAATGAGCAACAAACAGACATAATTGATGATATCAGATTCCGTGAAAATGATGAAGATGATAAGCCTGAAGACTGTGTTCTTAATATGGAATAGTTCACAAATGGGCTTAAGAATTCTCCAACAGCCTCCATTCCCAGTGACTTCTTCTGTACCATAAATAGCGGAATTTGGTGCAAGAGCTGGGCTTGGACATCAACTCGACAAGACAACACCTGCCACGCACCCTAAGTTTATATTAACCAGCGAGAACTAGATTACTCATTATTCAATTTCTTCAACCGATATAAGCCATAGCGATCTCATGAAATTGAATACAGAACCATATGATCTACTCTCAAATTTTATAATCCTATAGCTTATAATGAAAGTAGCCATTGGGATCATCTAACCCAAGATAACACAACATGTTTGATACGATCAACATCAGTGAAGTCTAAACTAACTTCAGAATCCACAGAGGAGTGGTTTACCATGATTCAAAAGTATGTCAATTCAAGAAATGAATCCTTCCCAATAGAAGATTTAAGCTAACCAATCAAACTAAACGACAAACTAAAGCAATCAAGAATTCAAATGAAAATTACAAAAGTAGAGAGCAACTTCTTCTCTTACCTTAACAAACGGATGAGTTTCCGTCGAGCCAAACTGCCATTTACCATTGTGTTTCCGGAATCCAAACTGAACTAGAAATCCCAGTCCCTTGACGAACACGTCAACGAACCGCGATTCCGATCCTTCAAGAGCAGCTTGGAGCTCCATCAGGCCGCGATAGACGTCCATTTGCGAATCCTTGACGAAGCGGCAGAGCTCCCGAACGGATTGGTCGACGACGGCGGGAGAGGAGTGGAGTAGGCATTGGGAAATCGCTTCCCTTCCCGGCCCGGAATCGGAGTTGAGATGCTTCGGAGCAGTTCGGAGCTTGCAGAAGATTGAAGTGACGGCGAATCGTTGAAGCGACGGCTGTGGAAGCCGGAGTTTCTGTAGCAGAGAATCGTAGGAATCCATGGATCAGTAAACTGAGGAAGATTTTGCTTCTGAGGAATTTACAGGAGAAGACTGAGAGTAATTTGTTAACAAATTTGAAAAAATTGTCCGAATTCCAAAGGCAGATTCTGCTTATAACATAATTTTAGCAGTTTAAAAATTGCACTATTAGATAAATTATTTTGAATTTTGTTACCTCTTATTTGAATTTTCTTATCTCCTACCAACAATAGGGATGAATTAAATAAATTTTAATTTGAAATAATTAGAAAAGATAAATAAAATAATTTTTTTTATCTCTTCTTTTGATTTTTCTTATCGCCTGAGGGATGAATTAAATAAATTTGAATTTGAAATAATTAGAAAAGATAAATAAATAATTTTGTTATCTCTTATTTTGAAATGTTCTTATCTCCTACCAAAAATATGGATGAATTAAATAAATTTGAATTTAAAATAATTAGAAAAGGTAAATAAAATAATTTTCTCTTATTTTAAATTTTCTTCTCTCCTACAAAAAAATATGGAAATAAATTTGAATTTGAAATAATTAAAAAAGACAAATAAATTACTTTTGTTCTCTTATTTTGAAGAGAGGATAAATAAAATAATTTTGTTATCTCTTATTTTGAAAAAGATGGACGAATTAAATAAATTTTAATTGAAAATAATTAGAAAATATTAAAAATAATTTTAAAAAATAGAATATTACAAAAAATTGACATAACCCATATGTAAATTAGTTCGGGATAGTATGGATTCGAATACCTAAATTCATTGCAAAATATATAATAAAAGATCTTTTGAATTTTATTAGTGAACAATGTGAATACATCACGTAAGTTTTAATTAGAAATGATGAAAAAATTTAAAATAAAATAGAGGAAAAGGAAATTTTGCTTTAGATGATGCCATCTTAATTTTTTGAAAAAATAATATATATGTAAAGATAGCTTACGGTCGTGTGCGACAAAAGAATCTCATCAAAACTTCCAATTTAAAATTAAAAGTTAAAAATTATTAAAAAGTGAGTAGTTAAAAAAAATATTTTTGAACGTTTCTGTCCATTCCTTGATTTACTAATTTATAAACTGCATCATTAATAATTTATTATAAATACTAAATTAATTACTATATATAAATAAATATTATGTTTTATATTATATACCTAATGGATTATATGGATAAATTTTATTTTCCTAGTTTGCCCTTTAATTTTAATGTTCTCTTTATTATTTTGATGACAATCTTGACATTTCATCTCTCTCAAATTCCACTCACTCCTCTCCCCCCAAATTCTCTCAAATTCTACTAATTTTCCCTCCCCACTCTTCACGCCACCCTCCAATTTTTTCTTTTTCTTTTTTTCCTTATATTTTTAATACCTTTATTTAAGTTAAAATGAACCAGGTACAAAATAAGGAAGAGAATGAAAAATGTTTAAATAAAATTGTTGTCACTTTATTCCTAAAAATTAATCATAAAATTAATGACTTTATTTTTAATTATATCACTAATAATTTTCAAAAGTTATAATGTTTTAATGCTTAAATAATCACGTTTAGACAAAATGAAAAGAATAGGGAAAGTTTGAATAAAAATTGTTGTCAATTTATTTATAAAAATTAATGACTTTATATTTAATTATATAATTAATATTGAAATTTCAAAAGTTAATATTTTAATGGTTAGATAAATATGTTTACAAAAATAAAAACATATTAAAATGAATAATTAGATGCATTCATACATTAAAACGAGTGGATAACAAAAATTAAATGACAAAAATGTTAAATTTTGAATTTAATAATATTTTGTCAATTTATTTTTAAAATGTAATTATAATTTTATAACTATAATAAATATATTAAAAACATCTACTCTGTTTTGTAAAATATATTTAAAAATTTTTATTTTTATATAAAATTATAAAATTTAAAAAATAGGCCACTCATTAATTATCCATAACTATTAAATTATATTAATTTAATTTAAATTATAAAATGTAATATAGTTTTGTTTTAACTCATATTAATTAAATAATTATAAAATGACTTTTATTTTCCAACGCTGTAAAATGACTTTTTTTCTTCTTACAATGATTTAAACTATTTTTCTTTTCTCTACTCTTCCTTCTTCCTGGATTTTTTTGGTGATAAATCTTTAGTCACCATACAATTTTTCTAGCTTTAGCTTTTACTTCTTCCTCCGTTTTCTTTAATATTATCAATATTTTCACTTGAACTTTATTATTTTCATCAATAATGGTTTCACTATCGTCATTATAATTCATCTAAACTAATTCATCTAAACTGTAATTCCATTTGCTCCTATAAAATGAAGTTTTCATTATAATTTATAACAAAAATACACACATATATATTTTTTTAAACAACTAACAAAAACTTATTTGAAAGTATTGAAATACATGTAATGTTCTTGTTAAATTTTTGTTTTCACATAGCCGACCAAATATATATTTATATATGTATATTTTTTCATACTCAAACATTCGAAAGAAAGGGTTTGGCGTAAAACCCCAAGCACAGCCTGAACCCCTGAATTTAAAGAGCAGACGATCCGATCCCGGGAAGCAAGGAAGGAAAACAGGGAAGCCGCCGCGTTCCGTCGTGTCGAGAACATGGCGCTTACCGAGCTCGACGATGTCACGGTCCGCAGCATGTCAATCGGAGCTGTTTTCTCCGACTTCGTGAGCTCCGCTTCCCCTTTTCTTATCCAATTCATCATCATCTTACTTTCCTCCTATTTCTGCCGTCTTTCTGACTGTTAAAGTCTCAAATTCTGAGCACGGTTCAATTTTGATTATCTGAACTTCCCGGCTTTGGAATTTCTGTTTCTACCGTATTGAGAACACATGCGAAGTTGAAAAATAAAGTTTAGTTGGAAAATTACTGTTTAGGATTTTGTGTTTTTGTAGCTGTGGGAAATTTGTAAATCTAAAGTTCCTGTTGTCTTCGCACAGGTTGGAAAGATAAATTCACTTGATTTTCATCGCAAGGAAGATTTGCTGGTGACGGCGAGCGAGGATGATTCCGTGCGACTTTACGATATTGCAAATGCCAGGTTAGATTTTCGCAGGATTCACGTTATCATAAATACTTGTTAGACTAGAACTTTGATTCAGCATTCCTATGTTTTTTCATCCTTATGGAATTCGAAGATTTTTCCATTTGTTCAATTGGATGGACAAGCCAAACTAATCAGGTCCGGAGGATTTAGTTTATACCCTAATGGCTAACGATTTTAGGTTACTGAAGACCACATTTCACAAAAAGCATGGTGCTGATCGTATATGCTTTACCCACCATCCAAGTTCTGTTATATGCTCCTCAAGATACAATTTGGATACTACTGGAGGTAGGTAAATTTATTTGGGTGTTTGAAATTTATGTAGCACTTCCTGACTTTGAGTAGTAACTGCATTTATTTTGTTTTTTTTTTTTAGAATCGTTGCGATATCTATCAATGTACGACAATAGGTGCCTTCGCTACTTCAAAGGGCACAAAGAGAGGTACAATCTAATGGCTAATGATAGACGAAGAAAGTAAAATCGGGTTCTACTATATTTGAAAAAACAATGTGACTAGTCTGCAATGGAACTGTCAAATTTTGCACCTTTAGCATTAACTTTGCCTGAGACCTCTTAGAAGATTCCTTGTGATTTTTACTTTTCTAGGTAGATGTTTAAGATGATTTGCTTCAGCTGCACGTTCATATGCACGATTTGTGCAGTATGTATTAGTAATCAAATAATTTGAAATTCCCCACCTGCTTTCCTTGAGAAACCTTGGGGATCTCTCTATGATTTTCGGAGTGCCATTTATAAATTATTAAAAGAAACTGACTATCCTTTGTTTCATTTACAATTGAGATACTTTTCTGATTACTTCCATTTTTTCCTCTTTTTTTCTTTTTGATTTGCAGGGTTGTTTCACTCTGCATGTCTCCAATAAATGACAGCTTCATGTCTGGTTCTCTCGACCACAGTGTCAGGATATGGGATCTTCGTGTAAATGCTTGCCAGGTTGGTTTCAGATTCTCATGTATTTACGCTTAACTTCCTTTAGAAAGAGTTTCTTCGAAGGTAGAACTCCGTATACTCAAAACTCTAATACAATATTACACTAACTGAAGAAAATGGGCTAACTGCAGGTTTGGTTGAATGGTTTTTAGTTATTGCATGGATTGAATCTTGTGTAGGTCCCGGACCATTGATACTAATACTCATCTTCCTATCGATAAATCGGGTAGGAGTGTGGCTAGAATAAAACTTGACTGGCTCAACTTTAGGACCACGAAGCTAACTTTTTTCCTTTGACTGGAAGTTTGGAACAGGGTATCTGTTTCTTGTGTCGGTTCCGGGTCGGTATAAACACCATATCTAGTTCTCCTCCATTGCTTAGCACCTGCTCCATGAGGTTGTCACTCACAATAAAAAGTTTGCATTCAAAATTCAATAGAAGCATTACTTTCACTTATTAGTAAGTGTATTAAATATTGAGAGAGTACAAGTATATTTAAGTCATAGATATATAAGGCATACATGTGAGCCCAAAACTAAAAAGAGTATATAATTAAAATAGAGGAAAAAATGCGACCTTTGGATTTAAGATATTTCGACTTATACACATAATAATAGAAAAATATATATATATCTTTTTTTTTTATGTCCGTGAGTGTCCAAGCAAGCTTACGCACACCTCGACTATTTTCACGGGGCAACCACCTGACCCTACAACATTTAGTACCAGGAAACACATCGGAATTACTAATTCCTAAGGTAGGTGGCCATCATGGCACATAATAATATATATTATAGCAATTAGTTCGGATAATATATTTTTAGTAATAGCAGGGATATGTAGAACGTTTTTTAGTTCTAGTTTATGATCATCAATTGAGGGTAGGGATCCCTATGAATCCCAGTAACTTTTAGTTAAAATTGGTCACCAGAGTTCCCTTACTGCTATAATTTAATTCATTAGATTCGTATGATCTTTTACATTGCTACCGGCATCACTGTAAACAAATCCTGCTGGATCTTAGATGTTAGTTGCAGTTTTCGGGGCAACAAAGAAGGCAGAGATACTCCTTTTTTCTTCAGGTCTCAACTTTCAATGTATTGGTGGTCAAAACATTAATATCAAACTGCTGGTCAGCGCCCAAACTTACCACATACTTATCGTGTGGGTTTTGAATTGTTTTGTTTACCTCTATGAGGTGATATATACCACCTCTTTAATTTCCTGGGGCATATCCTCTTCCTTGGCTTTTGTTTCTGGGATCTGAGATTGAAACTCGATGGTTGGTTGTGAGTTAGGCTTAAGAATGGTGAGATCTGTTGTTGCATCGGATGGGTCTCGGTTATTTTGAAATGTGGTTGAAATGTAGTGGAGCACCCCATGGACACGAGTACAATATTTTCCTTTTGCCACGTTATGGTATCTCTCTAGCATTTATTTAGCAAGTAGAACAAGTAGATAATATTCGAGATCCATTCCTGCTAGAACATTCAATCAAATATCTCTCAGGAACTCAATCTTATACATATTTTACACCAACGCAGTACTCGAATGCACGTGAATAGGAAAAACGGATAAGTGTCCTTGCCCGTTGCGGGTAAATGAGCTTGTGTCTTAACACTACCCAAAATTAAAATTCTTAATGCCATTTTGATTGCAATTTGTTCATTCGCATGAATATGATTGTTCTTACTTCCATAGTTTTCAGGGAATCCTTCGCTTACGTGGCAGACCTACCGTTGCGTATGACCAACAAGGCCTTGTGTTTGCTGTGGCAATGGAAGGAGGTGCTATTAAGTTGTTTGATTCACGTTCCTACGACAAGGTTCATGCCGGAGAAACATTACTTCATTTCTTAATAGTAACAAACATTTTTTCTATTAGTTAATCAAACATCCAAATACAGGGACCCTTCGATACCTTCTTAGTTGGTGGGGATATGGCCGAGGTCTTTGATATCAAATTTAGTAATGATGGCAAGTCTATGCTCTTGACAACTACAAATAATAATATATATGTTCTTGATGCATATGGAGGAGAGAAGGTTAGTGCGCATGCTTGCAATTTTAAGCTTTCTATGTTGCTAATTTACAGTTAAAAGAAACATCTTCAATGTTGTTACCTTCCTTTTAAGCGACCTTGTATCTCGTACAGCAATGTGGGTTCAGCTTGGAACCGTCTCCCAACACAACCATAGAGGCAACCTTCACTCCAGATGGTCAGTACGTCGTATCAGGTGAGAACTTGTACTTGCTTCTGAACATTGCATTCTTCAACCGCCATTGCTTTTCTTGTTGATTTTTTTATCCATTCCCGATTTATGGTACCTCTGAGGCTGCTATCATTCCTCACTTTGCTCACAAATGGTATTGGCTTGAGCAATCTATTAAACGTAGTTAAATGACTTTGTTTAAATAGCTATTTTTCGGTTTCAATCTATTAAACATACAATATCCCCATTTCATTTCTTATGTAATCTTGGACATTATCAGAATCGAAACTAACAAAATTTATATTTGTGATGAAGGCTCGGGAGATGGAACCTTGCATGCGTGGAACATTAACAAGCGAACTGAGGTGCTTATTCATTCTAAATGCGTATTGGCCTTTTCAAGTTAGACGGGTTTAAATATTCACCCGGTTAAAAACATCTGATATGTTTCTGAAAGGATCATTGATCAGTTCATAAAATATATTTCTTTTTATGGTATGGTGAAAATTATATTAATAATATCAATGAATCTCGCAAGGGAAAGTGATCACGTCGCCTCCTTTGATTCCAAAGACTAATCTCTCTGATTTGTTTAGTTTAAATTGTTCAATAACGATTCTGATTTTGATCAATTGTAATTTGTAGGTTGCAAGCTGGAACAGTCACATAGGCGTTGCCTCCTGCTTGAAATGGGCTCCTCGCAGGGTCATGTTTGTTGCCGCCTCCACTGTCCTCACATTCTGGATCCCCAATAGTTCCAAGTCTACAGGCGAGTCGGGTATGGAATTCGAAGCTCGTTCTCAAGCAGAACATATATCTCAATGATAGGGCATAATTACAAGCATTCTCTACTTCGGATTATTAAACAGTCAAATAACTCTGACAAGCCTTAGCTTACGTAGGTCAGCTAAATAGTTTATGCATATGAATTGTTTTTGAAGTTCAAATTTAATTCTCTCTTGATTTGATTTGGGGAAATTTGGGTGTTCGAGTGGAGAGAGGGAGAAGGAGAGAGAAGTGAGGTTCAAATGACCAATGCATGTGTAAGAAGTAAGAACAGAGGGAGAAGCTTTACACTGGAAGTAGTAGAACTGCAAACTAAAGCCCGCATTCTTGAAATAGCTCAGAAGCGAACTATCCTAGGATTACTCAAAGAAACACTCGAAACCTATGATTCCGACATTGACATGACTACAGGATTCAAAGACAGAACCCTGCCATTTCCCTCGCCTTCCTCCATTCACGTCCTCCTCCCTTGTTCTCGGGACCTGCTTTGAATTTCCTGTCCCAGCTCCTTTGTCTTCTGCCCCACAGAACCAGCCATATCCTGCATGCGCCTCTTAGCTTGGTCAATCTGATCCGGCATGAACCCGGTGACCTCGCGTAGGTAGTCGTAGGCCCATGTGAGCGAAGAGACAGCCGTGAGCCCAAATGCCCCAGAGGTCAAGAAGGCAAGGACAGCCAGACCAATGGTTAAGATTGCTGGCACTATAACGGGGCTGAAGATGATGAATACCGGAGTGGAGACCACCAGGCCGAAGAGCGTGACCGCCAGCGTCAAACCGGCGAGTCCTAGCAGCAAGCCGCCGAGAGGCACAAGGGTGACGACGGCGAGGACTGTGGAGGCTGAAGGGCCTCCTCCCTTGGCGCCGCCGTCGTAGCGGTGGTGGGGATGGACTTGGATCTGGTGTGGTTGTGGACGATCAGCCATTGCTTGGGTGGAAGGAAAAGAAATGAAGAAGTTTGAAGTAAGAGAAAAGTTGGATGGTGTTTATAAAGCGAGGGGGAATTGGCAAAATGGTGACACGTAGAAGTGAGAATGGTGAGTAGGGGCTCTGCATGGGAAACAAGTTTCATTTGGAAACATAAATAATGAATTTTTTTTAAGAAGATTATGATAAATGAAATCTAGATAGAACTGTTATGTCTTGGTACAGAATTGGCTGCTTGTTTCTGATGCAGAAAAATTGTCAGTCGTTTTGATAGGTATGTTTTAAATTTTAGTTGCTAGAGGAAAGTGACAAAGGGTTATTAGGTAACCTATTTGGTTTTTGTAAGTCACCGGAATCAGCTAGGAATATAAATGTACAACAAGTGTGGTTTTGGTGGGCCTAGTTTCAATTGATTTTGGGTTTAATTTTAGTTTTAGATTTTATGATCTTGAAAATTTTAATTTAGACTATTATTTAGTCGAACCTCATAAATTCTTATAAATTTTCCAGGACGTTACTATTTTGACACACTTGTTTATGAAATAATGAGTTTATATTTTTTAGGAAATACACTTTTTGTTATGAGTTTGAAGATATATTTTCATTTAGTCATGGTGTCTAAAATGTCGACAGTTCGGTTTTCAACCTTTTAGAACTATTGTTTAATGGTTGGGGGTCAAATTATCAATTTTTGAAATTCAGGCCTCAATAGAAATCTATGCTCAAACCCAATGACTAAAAGTGTATTTTACCCTATTTTCTATTTTGCAAATAATGTTAGCGGAGGGTTTAGGGTTGAGTGAAAAGTATAAGGAAATAGATGGACATTAAAGTTGGGACATTAAAGTTGGATAAATGATAGTTTAGAGATGATTTGTGAGATTTAAGCAAACTATAGGGACCAAAGTGAAATGGATCCCACGCTATAAGACTAAATTGAAACTTTTAAATCTTAGGACTAAATTGAAACTTTTAAATCTTAGGGACAAATTATAATTTAACTTGTTGATTTTTCCTATGTGATAAGTAAGGAAAGTTTTATTAAAAGTATAATCTCGGCTTACAAAGTGTAAACTTGTGGCGATTTGAGAGGGATTAATGCTATATACCAATTTCAATACTTATGCCCACTTCAATGTCTATTGAGATTAAAAAAGTGAATTTGAACCATAAATATTGACCTGCTTAATTTTCTAAATTAAAAATGGTTGGTAGTATCTAGATTCATGAAATTTTATCCTAAAATCAATTGGCAATGAGAGAAGTAGTTCGTATATTGTAAATCTTGTTAGGTCCTTTGATCTATCTTTAGCAAGTTGTTGGATAGGTTGGTTTTGATGTCGATTTTTCATTTTTACTAAATCAAGGTTGGTTCGATATCAATTTTGATAAGAAAAAATTGAATTGTTTTTGTACTTTATAAGTAAAACAAATGATAAAATAATGCTGTTTCTGAAAACTGGAAAATGAACCAGAAATTTAAACTAATTTTCTTTTTTCCTGTTGCTTCCCAAATTTATATACAATTTTGAAAAGAATTACAAATCTACTAGGTGGATTGGTCTTGTACGATAACTTTATATCATCATTTATTCCCTAGCTATCATGTCATGGTGAACACTAAAGTAGTAAGACACGTAAGTAGGTCAGTTCGAGTATTGATCAATAAAGTAACTTATACATTTAAAAGAATTGAAAACTTATCTAAATGATCTTTTACAAGAATCAAACAACAAAATTAATTGAGCATATTTTAGCAGTTAAGATATCATATTTATGCCCTTAAAGAGACCTAAATCTCTTAAATATTCGAATTCTATAGATTAATATAGGTAATCTTTTTATCTTCATCGTGTTTGCAATTTGTCTTATATCAAGTATAACGTTCAAATTTTAATATAATGATTAAATAGAAGAGTGTTGTCGTTTAGGATCGAGTTTTGTCGATACAAAAACCCAATTTTATTTAGAAATAAATTTATGAAATGTTAAATTAACTAAATTTCAAAAAGTTAAATAACAAACGTAGGAATATCCTCCTATTCTTTTTGTGGGCTTTTTAGTTCTCAATGAATGATGGTTATATATGCACACAAATTGATCAATTAATCTAACTAGGATATAGGCCTAGAAATGCATAAATTTCATTTCTCTCTCGAGTGCAAGCATAGTCCTCACAAATTATGAACTCCATATCCCTATTCAATTTCAATAATTTGAAAATGCTTTAATCTAAGTTTCGAGCACCTAGATGTTGACCATTTTAGTGTGAGAGTCATCCTCATAGTGTGACTTCTACATTTAAATCTTATATAAATTCTCTTGATTTTCTTCAATTTTTTGGGTTCTTTGGAATAATTGATCATTGGGTTATAATATAATCCAACGTTTTAAATTTGATTATGCAAATAATTAGCTCGAAAAGTGTGCAAGTAATTTGATTTCTACTTGTACATTTATTTTACACATGTGAATGTCCTAATCAGCCTTTAAATTCTAGTTAGTATCTTCCATTTGAACTCCATTCCTTTTAAGCCTTTCACGAATTACCAGGCCAACTCATAATGATTTTTTATTTATATGGTGGTTTTATTTTTTCCCCAATCGTAGTAAAGCTTCAATTGAAGACAATTTTTAATTAAAATTATTTGTTGATAGATGGGAATTTGACACAGGCAGTTCTGGGGAGTTTTGTTCTATTTTGGTTCTTAAATTTTTCAGATTAGTACATAGATAATCTATTTAGAAATCATAATTACGTAAAAAGATGGGAAAATATATAATTTACACTTTTGTCATGAAACAATCTCTAATTAGATGGTACCCATAACACAAATTATTAGTGTATCCTTAGGATCCATCTCAATATTAAATAATTATTAAAATTTAGAATTGATAAATATAGGATCAAATCCGGATACTTTCCAAAATTAAAAAAAATCCTAAAAGCCCATAAATCCATCAATTTTCGAAACTCACCCCTTTCTTCTTCCTCGTTTTTCTTTTCTTCCTCTAATCGTCGGGTTTCCTTCCTCCGACCCTCCATTCCTCTTGTCCGATCGTCTATTCCTTTTCTCCGACCTTCCTCTTCTCCAACCGTCTGTCTTCCTCCCCAACCAACTCCGCTTTTCTTTATCGCAAAAGTATTTCATCTCCGGCCACCTTCGAAAAGAGATTTCTATCGGTTCTTATTCTTTGGGCGTTTCTGCCTGTCTTTGTCTCCGGCAGATGTTTGCTTGCTTTCATCTCTGGCCGCCTCCATTTTTCTTAGTCGCCAGAGCAGTTCATCTCCAGATTGAGAGGTTTGCATTCCAAAGAATGTTTTCAATTTCTGATTTGGTGTCAAATATTGTATATGTGAGGATATATAGCAAAAATAAATAAGAGAGAGGGTTAGAGAAATTTGACACCGGGAATTTTTATAGTGGTTTGGTCCTACTCCACTTCCCAAGCACCTCTTGGGTTGTAAATTGAAATTCTGACTCTTTCCACGGTAGGATTCAAACCAGTACACTGCTTTTCACAAGAGCAAAGACGGATCACACCGTTACAATGAGTTGAAGATTTTTAAACACACACTTACAAACTCTCAAATAGAGTAAATATACAAATTTGAGCTCGCAAAAATTTCAATCCTCACAACAATAAAATTTCTCTCACAAATAAGATGGAAAGAAAAATTGAGAACTTGGAGAGATTAGTAAAATGAGAATTTTGAAGTTATGGAGGATTGAAAATAAGAGAATTGTTGTATAATTTTGAATGAGAAGTTTAATTTAAATAGAGGGAAGAAAATGGTAAAAAAAATCAAGTTTAATTTTGAACAATTAGATCTTAATCATTAAAAACGAAGGGTTAAGATAATTTAAAAAAAATAAATTAAGAATAATATATATAATATATATATATATATATAACAATGATGAAATAAAATAAAATATATATGTATAATGAAATAAATTGTTGTGTGTGCGTGTGAGCTCCGATTTGTATGATCTAACAATCGTTGGAATCGTTGTGTGTGGGTTCTCGGGTATTTTTCCTTCCAATTTGTTTCGATCGTAACTTCTCCGTTTGAGCTCCGATTTGTATGATCTAACAGTTGTTGGAATCGTTGTAACGAGCTCTACGCTGTGGACACTTTAAAATACAAAAAAAAATGTCAATAAATAAAATTAAGTTTGTTATCATCAAAACATTAATTAATTAATTAATTAATTAATTAAAATTAATTAATTTGAGATTAAGGTCAAAAAGCCAACATGATATGCGGATATATACTATAGGTGATTTTGAATGTATATATGCAGATATATAAGTGGATATATACTGTGATTTTGAATATATTTTTTGAATATGCGGATATATGTTTATCGAGACTTCAAAAGATGTTTCTGTGAAGATTGCACCAATGTGGGAGTGAATTAAGGGAAGATCAATAAATTAAGGTTTTGAAGGGGTGAATAAAGGGATTTGTGTTGAAAATTAGTATGGGACCCACAATAATTAAAGGATTATGATAATAATTTAAGGAATTAAATCTTTTATATTAAAAAAAACAAATAACTATAATAAATGTAAATACAATAAATAACGGTAAAATCGAAATTAAAATAAAATCTTACATGCATAAATCTAAAAGTGTAAAATTGGAAAAATTTAGACATTTTGTGTAAATAAGTTTCTAAAACAGCTCTCCCAAGACATTATCGGTAAATTTTTATATAGACACTTTTTTTCGCATAGATTTTCGAATATTCATAATTGTTTTCTTTTAGTATGGTGTTTTATTTCTTCAATTTTTACATAGTTATTTTCTTTTTGGTCCATTAATTTTTAAATATTTTATTTTAGTTTTTAAACTTAGACTTTCATTAATAATTTATTGTAATCTAACTCCTGGGCCACTAATGTGAATTTAAGTAAATAACAAATATGCATCTGATTAAGCAAATCGTATTTATGTCAGATTTTTTGTTAAGTAATTTATAAATTTTTTTAACATCAATTACTAAAATAGTTTCTTCATACAAACTGAACTAAATTGAATGTTTATAAGATTAGAGACCAAAAAGTAGATAATTATATATTTATATAAAAAGGATAATTTAGGACTAAATAGATTCAAAATCTTTTTAAAGTTTACAAAAAAATAATTTTTGATCTTAGTTTTTTTTTCTTTTGAAAAAAATAAAAAACTATTGTTAGTTTTTAAAATTTGATAAACATACTTTTAGAAATCAAATTATAGAACAAATATAATCTATTCTATTTAATCTTTTATATATGCCTATATGGCAATTTAGAAAGAAGTTATATGGAAAGGAAATCTTTACAACACAAACACGATCAGGTGTGTGCCAACCTAAGTATAACTTAAACGGTTGA